TTAATAAGACACAAGTTTCTTTTGATGCTCAGTCTAGTATTTTCTATGTAGCTGGTACTGCCTCTTATCTTTGGCCTGTCAAGTCTATCTCCATCCCATGAAAGGGCTAATGAGCACTCTTATCCTCAAGCTCAACATTAGTCACTCAGCCGGCCTAATATTCGCTATCAGTTATTAACAGATAGTTTACTCTAATGCAAACGCCAACCACACTTGTTTCCTTACTTGTACCGAGATCAAATGCCATTTTGCGCTCTGAAACTCAATTTATAATGGTTCAGAATGAGAGTTTCGGCCAAACGCACAAACTATTAATTACGATCACCTGTTAAGAGCTTTGAATGGAGTGTCCAGAAAAGCATTATGTAAGTGTAAAAAAAGTATTAATTACTATTATCATATTTTTGAAGTATGTTAGAAATGAGCTTCAGGGCGCAAACATGAGCACAGGGCTCAGACAGCACAGAATCCCAGCAATGAGAAGGAAAGGCAGAGGGTCAGCATTCAGAACTGAAGACTGGACGGTACAGTGCTCACTAGACCTAGAGGGGATAGTACACCGTTCATCTTGGGTCCCCAACTCTGGGCCTGGAGAGATGGCGTGTCTCCAGACTGGGAGAAACTGGCCAATTGACTGATTCAGGTCCTTAAGAGCTCCGCTGCAAATGACCACGAATCAACAGGCCGCCCCTCCAGGCGCAGGAGCGGGGAAAGGAGGTAACGCGTGATCCGGAACTCAAAACCACGGCTTCCGGGTGCGAACAGGGCACGAAGCCCCGCCCCTCGGGGTTGCCGGGAAAGCTTTCACATTCACACGATTCCAGGGCAGCGAAAGGCGACCCAACGTTAACGACAACAGAAAATTATAATTACAATAATTACAGTCATTATTAGAATAAGATTAGTTTTTTTTTTCTTATTAAAAAAAAGCTTTTAAAAGACGAAAAAAAAAGAACGTCCTCCTAAAGATTGCCACAGCTTTTTGTACACAAGGTTACTTGAGCTCAGGAGAAAATAAAAAAATAACATGAATTATAGTACGTGTGGTAAACATGGCCTTTCTAAGCCTATTTGTGTTGAGAACCCAAAGTGGTAAGCATTCCCTGTTTACATACGATCCAATTTTAGCCCACAGCCCGATAAATTATTAATTTTTAATTACGTTTGCGTTTGTTGCGCATGAAACTCTCGGGGCTGGAGAGTCAAAACCGCCGCGCTTCAGAAAAGCAGGCCAGTGCTTAACAAAACAAAAGATAATCCCAAAATACTACATTCTTGAAAGATGCTGTTGGACGACAGCCTTCCCTACTCGCCCGAATTGAGCGAGTTATTGAAGTCCTGTACATTATATCGACACAATCCTCACTGTCCACATGAACGCATTACTTCGACGTTAGGAGTCGCACGACCCCGTGATGCAACGCGGCGACGAAAACGAAAGAGACGTTCAGACAAAAATAAGAATTTCATCTTGTTTGTCAGCCTTTCCCTCCTTTTTGACAGGGGGTTACGCGGAACCCTGTGTGAGGTTTCCACACAAATAAAAGCTAGAGTTATTTTTTTTCTTTCCCGTCGCTGCCCCGACCTTGGTCCCAGGCGTCCCCTGAACTCCAAACTACATCAACATTTTTTAAAATAACACTGCCCGCGGAGCATGAGAAACGCAACAGCCTGGTCTAAAGCTTCAAAGTAGTGCAAAACTCATAATAATAGCTACTTCCATTGTAAAACAACAACGGTTTTCTGGCAAGAAATTCCGATTTCGTTCAGCGTTGTTTTCAGGGTCACTTCACTCAGTTAGAGCCCTTTTTTAGCCTTTTTTTCCATAGCCTGTTTTTGACACATGCTGCGAACGCTTACGGTAAGGAAAAACTACTGTAACAGGACACTGGTCTGTCCAGAGGCCTAGCCCTCAGCCCTGAAGGTTCACACCATTTGCAAAACCTAAATTCTGTTGGCCGCTGTTCGGTACTACAACATTCCTTTGTCGGTCCTCCTGGACGTATTTTCTGGACGGAAGCTTTCATCCCGTGAGTTGTAATGAGGAGGCGAGAACCATTTCTTGCCGGGAAAAACGCACAGGTTGTAGAAGATGTACAGTACCTGGGAAGCACAAGGGCTTCCCAAAATGCAATCAGGCTGCGCAGCCACTCCTAGATACGGAGGCCGGCAGCACTCTCCGACCTCTGGCCACCCAGAATGGATGGACCCCAACCTTCATATATCTTGTCCCTGTGGCTCATTCTGCTCTCAATAAGGGGAACACTACAGTTTGGCCAGTCTGACAGAGGAATCCGCTGGGATTAACCATCGGAATTCCAAAGGTCTGATCTGCAGGGATTCCGGTAGGAATTCTGAAGGAATCCGCTGGGATTCCAGTAGGAATTCAGAAGGCCTGACTGCTGCATTTTTGTATGTGCCCGACCTAGAATATTACACTGAGTTTATACAGGGATTTAAACGGAAGTGAATATTTCACCCTGTGGTTTAGGCCCTGTCATTTCCGAGTTACAACGAGTTCAAATCATTTTGACAGCGCGGACGCTACCCAGAATCTTTGATTTGCTGTTCAGGTAGTATTTCTGTTACTCGACCTCGGCCTGGGACATAACGGAGAGACAATCTCACGCTTCCAGTGTCAGAGGGCGGATCTGTACGGTGGCTGAGCCTCTACAGGACCCCCAGGGCTGATCTCCCCCAATTCAAACACCCAGGAAACCGACAGCAGGCCGGCTTCCGAATTCGCCCACTGTGCCAACATGGGACACCCCAGCAGAATGCTGGGGTTCCCCCAGAGGGGCACTGGGAAGATCTCGGCACCCCCTCAGAGCCCAGAGGACACCCCCTTCCTCTCCCAT